TGAGGAAGGTGAAGTTCCACCCAGTCCTCCACACAAAAAGGTACTTTGATTATTGAATCCATGCCGTCCGCTGTTGTGTTCCTTGTATACGACCGACGATGACACTGCTATTTTACGTGCATTTTGGTTGATTATAGTCTCGTGCTCAGTCGGTTGACAAATCACCTGCTAATGGCGGGTCAAAAGAGCGAAAGGAGGCGACGGCGACCATTGCGAAAGAGGTTAAGGATGATAAAAAAGATTTCAAAGAGCCCAAGGAGAAGCGAGAAGAGGAAAAGAAGGAAACGCGAACGAAAAGGGATGCAACGCCATCGAAGAAAGAGGAGCCTGCGAGGGATATGGACAGGCGGAAGGATCGAGGTCTCGATGATGAGGAAATCGGACCAGCGGTGAGTACAAAGTTTAGTTGAAGAACGCTTCTCGTTTCCTACTTTTTACACAGAACCAAGAGAAAATTGCTGGCATTTCTATGCGAAGGCCCGACTTATGCTTTGAACCAGAAAGTCGAATAGCTCGTTAAAATTACCTGTGCTTTAGGGAAAGCAGTTTATAAATCACGTACATGAAGTTTCTTCATTATAGTTACCACCAACAATGAGAGAGGACCGAACGGATGATCGAAAACGCGACCAGAAAGCTCACAAAAGATCCGCTCGAGATGAGGAGCAGAATGGGTAAGTTCTTAGGCTTCTGTCAGATATGAAATCAAGACTGGGCTTTTATTGGTCCGTTATTCAGTACCCAGACATAGTACAATCTTCTGTGATAATATGTACATGGTAGGACATTTAAAGAAAGGGTCTGTTGCGAGTGTCGCGAACTCGTTGTGCTAATCATCGCTCTCCTCGCTATTATTTATTTTTCCTTAACGACTTGTTGCGAATTTACCAAACTCCAATCTTGGTTTCGATTAACACGTGACGGCATCCACATTTTGGCTTTTTGGTCGCGTGGGACTGGTGCGATTGTGCGAGCGCGATCACCTTCACATCCGTCGGTTTTGAGCATTTCAAAATTATTTTGGACGTGGTTGTTTCAGTAAATAAGTCAGGTTGCGCGAAAAATGAATGTAATGGGACATATTATTGCCCCAATGTCCTACTTAGTCTGCAAATGGCGGCATACATAGTTGCCGCGCTCCCGTCGATGTTCAATACATTGTCGACAGCGTGACGCGGTTGCGCTGTCGACACGGTCACCTTGTATACTACGTTGTGGCGGTGACGACGGTGACGCGGCGCCACTTGTATACACGTTGGCATTGACGCGGGAACGCTCCCGCCCGAGTTATCACTTTCCTGACCCGATTACACCGACTTCTGTCAGAAATTGTTATATTCATTTTATGGCTACACATAACAGACGTAAACAAAATGGCTAACCATATGGTCAAATAGCTTCAGCCTAGCGTTTTTCCAAGCGGACAAAATTACCAGCTCGCTTAATTCTCCTTTTCTTCGTTCTCAGGCAGTGTAATAAAAAAACGAGTATTAGATGTGAATGCAAACCTTACACGAATAGCAAACCATAAGTTTAACTGCGAAAACCCGGCTTCAAATATTGGGCTGAACCATAATTTCTGGCCGAATTTCGACACTTTCATTTCATTGAGTTTTTTCTTTTCCTGGAGAATAACTGATCAACAATATAACCACCGTCGCAATCGCTGATATGCGTTCATTTGCTAGGCAGCGAATGGATGCATTCCTCTCAAAACGAGTGGAGCTATGGGATGAAGAGTTCGGAGAGGTCGTTTTTTGGGTGGTTGTATTCAATGACATCTTTCTCTCGAAGGTACTGCTTCAGGGCATCGAGAAGGGGATAGTGCGATGAAGTAATGTTATGGCTATACGAAAGATGTGGTATCGCAATCCAGCCAGTTTCCTTCAGAAGGTGGCGAGTTATCTTCGCAATGTAAGGTCGGGCGTTCATCCGGAAGAAGGAGATTTTGAGACGTTTCGAGTGGTTCTCTCGCACTGCTGCGGCCAACCTCAGGAGTTTTCCATGGTTATCTTCGCAGTGGTTGTCTATATAAGATGAAGCAGTTCTCAAAGTGGATATACCCGACCAATCCTACAAATTGGGGGTAATATTCTCTGACGAGAGAGGTCAGCTTTTGGGTGAGATGGTGGGTTCATGCGGCGAGATAGCCATAAGGCGTGCCGCGTGTTGTTGTCGTAGTGGACTCATGACTCATCTCCACTGGTGTCCGACTAGGGAAAGTCCAGCGGTTATGCCTGCGCAGAATGAAATTTCTGCAGATGGACAGGTCTGCTTCTCGGTCATGGTCAGAGATGCATGCCGTTCCCATCGAAACTTCATTCTGCTACAGCCCGTTTCATTCAGACAGCTTGCGGTGGTGCATCGGCTGTGCCCAGGTATCTGCTACAAATCTCAGGTGGTAGCGTCCGGGTGAACTTCCGATTCACAGCGCAATGGATTCCTCATCGAAAGTGACTGGGGGCTTAGGATGAGGTCAAACTTTGCAGCTTGTATCACGCCTTTGCCGATGCTTTCAAGCCAATAGCCCAGTGCCCGATCAGTGGCAAAGACTGAGGCAAACACAGCGCTGGTCTTGCCTACTGCACTCCTTGCAAGGTTCTTCTTTAAATGATCGTTAAGCATAATCGCCTGCTTTGGTCGTTGATCCATTTCGATCCCTACTTACTTATTCCACTGCCCTTTGACCTTCTGGAACATCCTAGTTTAAGGTACTGATGCCTCCTTCAACATACTAACTTTATTTCGTAATGACACTAATTTGACATGAAGAAAATTGATTCTGAAAAAATTCGGCCAGGAATTATGGATCAACCCAATATTAGGCAGTCTAATCACAGAGAAAATAGATTGCTTCCTCATCAAGCCTGTTTTCGGTCCAAATCCATATTGACGCGAGTACTTCACGACATGAATGATGCTGAAAGCTTTTGGCATTAACGTGCGATAGTATCACTTATAAATGACGAAAGGAGGGTGAGGGCGGCACACTCACAAAAGGCTTCCTGTTCTGCCCAAAGAAAGCCGACATGCGCGAGTGTCAGCATGGGTAAGGGCCAGACGTAATCCTGACACTAAGCGCTCAGGTCTGTCGACCCATCGTTCTGGTTCGTGGCTAGGCCAGTCCCCTGGAAAACCATCAAAAAGTAACAGACACGCGCGTTTGAGAAGGGGTCCCGGCAATTTCAGCGATACACTAGCCAGTGATCGTTGAACCCGCTAGCCCATCCCTGGAATCGCTGGCGCGTCGCTTGAATTATGGAATTGCGCGATTCGCCAATGATTGGTTGCAAAGTAGCACCTGATTTAAAAGGCCTGTGGATTGCAAATGGCCTCGCATAAAAGTGTTATAACTTCTTAATTTGAACTTAAGTTAAATTCTCACGTTGCTGCCTGATTTGCCTGTGAAAATAGAGCGGACCTGACATATCAGTGCTTTGATCTGTTCTGTCCTTTGTCGAACATGCACATAAAGACCTTATGCTTCGAAATCGAAATACTATGAGATGCCTAAAGAGATTGATCCATGCGCAGCGCTCTCTCCTCCAACATATTGCGAACCAAAGCACTGCGCATATTCCATTTTATACAGTAGTAATTAGCCCTCACCTAGTGATACATTTGATATTTTTTGCTTCTAAGATTAGGTTCGAATAGTACAAGCGCAGAAATGCCGAACAACAAGCAGCGATTCTTTTTCGTGTAGGAGGCGTGAGTACATGGTGGTGCCCACAGCACGCAATATGTAATCCCCTCGTCCCCCAACAGGCCCACCGCGCGGCGAAGCAAGAGACGCAGACGCGGCAAAGGGACGAGTCGCAGCGCATACTGTAGCGGTTAGGCGTCAGGTTAAAGAGAGTGTACCATACTACGTCTCATATCGCACAGCACGCGCTGCAACTCGTCTCTTTGCCGCATCTGCGTCTCTTGCTTCGCCGCGCGGTGGGCCTGTTGGGGGACACCCCAATTCCCTTACAAATGAGTCAAATTGAGAATATTCTTTCAATTTTCAACTATTTAGGCATTCAAAAGTTGCGCGAAAGGACCGTGATCAGATCGAATCAAGATGTAAGTGTTATCTTACTTTTTCTTGGTAACTGTACAACAAGAAGTTATTACAGTATCCCGACTGTGTCACATGAGCGCAGAGCCCCGTCACCTGTACGAGAAAAGGAGAGGCGAGATGAAAAGAAAGATAGGCGGAAAGATAGGTGAGCTGTGAAAATTCTTGTTTTGTATGATTTCCTTGTGAGGGGGAAGAAGTACTGAATTGGGATTATGGTATGTTGATGCTTGAACGTTTTTCAGTAAACCAGTGCGTAAGTAGATGGATGAAATCAGCGGCTACACTCCGTTATTCGTTACCTCAAACTGTTAAATGATTGTTACGTGTTGTGCATTGGTGAAAGTCTTAATAAAAATATCTCAGTGTATATTTGCGGCATTCGCTGTGTAGGCAAGTATGAATTCACTAATGACTATAACAACAAATACTTTGAGCTTTTATTTATATTTCTGTAGAAGCGTTTTTACGCCGTCTTGCTGCAGAATGGCCATTTGAGAATATATTAGACCAAATTTCATGATATTGCTCACTGACAGGGATGGACAATAATCAGGATAATCACTGACAGGGATAATCTCTTCGAACTCGATTTAACCTGGAAAGAGAATTATTGCTGGGCAAATTTTCGTGGGGATTGAGAGCAGCTGATCCAAAGGTTCACAGATCGACAGGTCGTGTGGTTGCAGCCTTGCGATGTAGTGTTACATCGAACGCAGTATGGCTTCCACTTACTGATTGGAAATGGGGAAGGCGGGGGTGGGTAAAGGGGGAGGTACAACAGGGTTAATTATCACCTTAAAAGCCCATCTTAAAGCAACAACCCTAAATGAGGTCGCGACAAAAAATCTATTCTGTGGTAGAGAAGAGCAGCCCGCCTCGTAGTTGTGCCGTTGTCGCGACTCGAAATTGTGCGACAACGGCGCTAGAGGCCTTACAAAGTGAACTGATGACGGCTAATGTGAGCTAATGGACGAGATACCTCGCGCACACCCCATGACACGCAACGTGGATTACGACGTAGCGGCTAATTCAAATACGGGTCAGTGGAGCATGGAGCGAGCCAGTTCAGACAACTCGTCCTTTGCTTCTCCCTCATTTCAAGGAAGAAGTGAAGAAGTCCTCGCTTGAGGGCTTCATCGGCGGTTTGCTTTGCTTCTTTTTTCCTTTTGTCAATTCGACATCTAATAGAATGTGATCATCGATCACTGTTACCCAACCTTGATTGGGTGTTCTTGCTTTGGGTATTCCATAAATCCCTCCCCCCTTCACTCTCGCTGGTAGCCCCTAACGGCGATAGACAGTTGTGAAGAAGAATGTGATTCCGTCATATACGTATGCCAGATAACACAAGCATAGTTATGCGTTATATCTAGACGAGTGCTGCCCTAGTCCTTCAGTAAGAACAATGAGCTTACTTTCATAGCCCATGATTTCCAGATTTACAGGTGAGGGCAGTGATCCAGGATCCAATTCCTGCCTTGGCATGATATGTCCAGACAGACGAAGTCATGTAATAGTTCTGGGTGCTAGGAACTGTATGGGTTGGTTGCTATGGGGCTGCGGAACTGCTTAACCATACCGCAACTGTTTGACCACTGAAGTGGCGATGGGTTTCTAAGGGAAAAGGAAAGCGATTTTTTGCAGGAGCAGAATGCGCGGAACGCGTACGGTTGGGAGCGGTCAAATGTACGAAGGAATGGGAATAGTGGGTTTTCACTAAAAGCTGGCAGTACAGCGCCGGGCCAGTGCCCCTTGGTATCCCTACTGTGCTCTAACTCTCCACTTCTGATAATCAAAACATGGTCATATTTAATTTCTCATATTATTTGACGGCGTCCATCCCTGCGTCAAAATTTCTAGT